CGAATTTGAGAAACAAGACAGAGGATCATAGGGGAAGGGAGGGAAAAATGAAACAAGATGAAATCAGAGAGGGAGACAAACCATAAGACGGGGGTGGGAGGGATAGGGTGGCTGGGTGACAGACACTGGAGAGGGTATGTGCTATGGTGAGCGCTGTGAATTGTGTAATTCATGAATCACAGACCTGTACCCCTGAAACAATATATTATGTGCTAATAAAAAAAAAAAGGGATATATTTCCCTCTCTGTGTATTTGCACAGGCCTTGTTACTTGCTTTGGCTAAAAGGGTAAAAAAGTGTGCCAGTTTCAAGGCTAGGCCTCAAAAGACCCTTAAAAACTTCTGCCCTCTTTTTCATCCTTGCTTCTGCCATGAGCACAAGCTTAAGCTAGCCTGCTGGTGGATGAGGGACCACATGGAACAAAGCAAAGGTCATCCTAGAGCAGCCAGCTCTCCTCACTGACCAACTATCCCCCAGCTAAGATTAGCAGAGCTCCCTACTCAACCACCAGTGACTGCAGATACATGAGTCAGCCCAGTCCAAATCAGAACCACGCAGCTGACCCACAGACATGAGGGCACAAATAAATGTTTGTTGTTTTAAGTCACTAAGTTTTGAGATGATTTGTTATGTAGCAATTACTCTGGAAATAGTTAACTGATAGGCCCATACTAAAATATTTTCTTCATTTGACTTGAATACATCCCCCTGAAATACAGAGTTTCCTCTCTTCCCTTGACTAATGAGAAGCAGTCTATAATTTGTCTCAATTTACTTCTTAACCTAGTGTTCACAAAATGTAGACCACCAACCACCTACATCAGAACAGCCACACTTACATCAGAATCACCTAGAGGGCTTGTTAAGTGATACTCTTTCAACTTCTGTCTTAAGGTATTATTTTAGGTTTCTCTCTTATGTGCAGAAAATTTAATCCTAACTGATATGACAAACTAATCCAGTAAAATATAATATTACTTTTATTTAAGCCACACATATCCCAACTGGCAATGCTCTTTTCCTTTATGAAAATGAACTGAGGTCTCAGACCCAGCTGATCTGCAATCTGCCCTCAACACTCCCTCGAAGGCCACCAGTGATCTTTAAATGAACAAATCCAAAGAACTTTTTCAAATTAATCTTCTTAAAGCACAATATGTATCCATCTACTTTTCAATCCTTACCCCACATTATTCCCCTATTTGATAGTTCCTGAGTAAGTACTATGGTTTCCCACTTCCCTGACTTGCTTATACCATTCTATTCCTTCACCTAGAATGCCCCATCTTGAGTTTCTGCCAACGCAACGTGAGCTGGGCTTTAAGGCTATAGCATTTTCTTCCACTAAGCTTTCCCCTACACTTCCAACCACATGTATCTCTCACTCAGAACTGCCAAGGCACTTTTATAACACTTTTAGACATTTGTATACCATCTTCTCCCTATTCTAAGTTCCTTTAACCCCAAGTATTTATCTTTGTATCCCTTAAAATGTCAATATTACAGAATTGAAATGCTAACTATTATAGAATTCAAGCAATTCATTTTAATTATTCTATGTAGCTTAAGCCTAAAAAATTCAGTTACCAACCAAACATTTTTAAGAACTGAAAGAACTATGAATAAATGCAAGTTTAATGGTCATTATATAATCAACTTAAACTTATTCTTTTACTGAACACAGCCAATCTACATGGAAACACACAGTTTATCTTGCAGCCAGGTAAATTCTTTGCTACTTGAGCAACTGTGTTCAGCTTCACTTTACCTTGCTCATGCTCTAATAGCTGTAGAGCTTCAACTCCATTACTCCCAGAAGGTCCTGCTCCAAGTTCTGATACAGACTCTCCTTCCAAGTCTAGAGAGGATACTGAATTGGAGCGATTTGACGGACCTAGAGAAATGTTTATACTGTGAGTGAGCTTTTTAAAAGTCATGAGCCACCATGCAACTTTTCATGCCTTCAAAATAGACTGAAGACTGATTAAGGTACATTTATTTATTTCTATGTATGTATTTATTTTAAAGAGAGAGAGTATACAAGCAGGGGGCATGGGGAGAGGCAGAGGGAGAGAGAGAATCTCAAGCAGAGTCCCTGCTGAGCATGCCGGATGCAGGGTTTGATACCACAACCCCGAGATCATGACCTCAGCCGAAATCAAGAGCCAGATGCTTAACCAACTGAGCCACCCAGGTGTCTCGAGGTGCTTTTAATACTGCATCCATACCTTAAAAATACACACGCCCTTTAAGCCAGCAATTGTGCTTCCAGGAATTTATCCTAGGAAACAATTCAAAAATTCATCCAAAGTTGCTTGTCAAAGGGCTTTTTATAATGCTTGAAAAGCAGAAACAATCTATATGTTTAATCATACAAGAATGTTTAAATTATCCCCACTTGAAGTTAAAGAAAAAAAAACATTAAGAACCTAAGATATTTAAGAATGTTAAATTACAAAGGGAAATGTCACTGCTATACTGTTAAACAAAAACGGGTTACAAAACAACATAAACCTACTTTTGCTATAAATAAAAATCAAAATGCTGTTATTAATAGAATGGTAGGGGCTCCTGGGTGGCTCAGTCGGTTAAGCATCCAACTCTTAATCTCAGCTCAGGTCTTGATCTCAGGGTCATAATTTCAAGCCCCATGTTGGGCTCCACACCCAGGAAAAAAATAGAATGGTAAAATTACAGATGATTCCATTTCTTTTATGCATTTTCTAGAATGAATGTACATTACTTCTGTTCTAAAACGTTAGAGAAAAAGGAAAAGCTATTATGTTTTGTTTAAAATAGTAGTAAACTTGGGACGCCTGGGTGGCTCAGTCGGTTAAGCGTCTGCCTTCAGCTCAGGTCATGATCCCAGGGTTCTGGGATCAAGTCCTGCATCGGGCTCCTTGCTCAGCAGGAAGCCTGCTTCTCCCTCTACCGCTCTCCCTGCTTGTGCACGCTCTGTCTCTTCCTCTGACAAATAAATAAAATCTTTAAAAAATTAAAATCTTTAGGGGTGCCTGGGTGGCTCAGTCGTTAAGCGTCTGCCTTCGGCTCAGGTCATGATCCCAG